GATCCCTGTTCAACTGCTGGCGCATAGCGGCAAACACCTCCCTCTCCTGCTCCACGTTGTAATCCATCTCCTCCCCTATCGTCGCATTCCTCCATTCCTGCCTTCCTATATCCCTCCAGTCCAATACCGGCTGTGGCAGGCCGAAATCCGCCATGTGCTTACTATATTCAGTGATGAGTTCCTGAATATGGTAGAGCCCATAGTCGAGCTCCAGGCCTGCCCCCATACCCATCCCACCAGCCGGTACCACAACCCTACCTGTCACGAGCAGGTTCCGGAGGTCATCGCAGAAACTCTCCCCAAACTCCTCCCAGATCCTGAGTGGGTCCGTGATGGTGGTGTGTTGCAGGGCAAGCGCAAAGAGATATCGCAATGCCCTGCCAGTCATGAACTCCCGACTATCACGGAACAGTGATACCCACTCCCCATCATCCTCCAAGAGCCGTAGTGCCCTACAAGCACCCTTGAAGGTTGGATGGATTACCTCATCCACCGTCCGCAGGTCCTCAAAGCTTCTAGCACCACGTACTACCGTCAGGAGCAGGCGGAGGTAGTACCGCTCACCCATGAGAGGGTTGGCAGAGTACATGCGGCCGATCGCAAACCGCTGGCTCCGGGGCTTCCATACCCTTTCCCTAGTGTAGACGTAGTGCTCTGGGAATTCATGGTACAAGTACTGCCTTCCGTCTTCGTTCTCAGCATTGTACTTAAAGTATGCCATCAGGGTTGAGAGTCTAGCCTCCATATCCCGGCGAATGTTGGCTGGATCTACTCCCTCTGAGAAGTAGACTGGCTGGTGGCCTGGAAGGTGTAGGGCGAGTTGCTGCACGGCTGGCTGCTGTTCATGGGTTTTGAATTCAAACAGCCGCCACACTGCCTCCGTGGGACCTATATACCGTCCGTGAAGATACTGTTTGATTTCATCGTTTTCGGTCTCCAGAACAGCAGTGGCACAATCTCCGCCCTTGTAAATGTACTTATGAATGTACTTGACAGCCTTGACTGACCCGCACACCTCCACATTGATGTGTGCCTTGTAGCGGAGTGAGAGGTAGGGACTGTAGGGTACTATCCTCCGATTGTCCATGACAGCTGTAACATCTCCACCCCTTCTCCGGACCGCCACTGTGAAGGACTGCCCTGTATCCCTCCTCCGGTAGGTGGGATAGCCATCCGCAGTGATGATGGTCTCCTCCTGAAATGGACGTGGATAGCCCTTGCGGCAGGGCAGATTGGATAATGGATCCAGGCCCTGCATGCAGGCAGCCTACCCATTCCCTCCAGCACAGTGAGAGTGTACCATCGTTGACTGGATGATACCCCTCAATTCCTGACTTGTTGGATCACCGCCACAGGGAATTTCAGCACTGATGAACCTATCAATATTGGCTGGTGTCAGGAACTGGTGATCCGTCTTGAGAAACACCAGGAGGTGCAAATGTGGAAGTCCCCGCTTCTGGTACTCGATCGTCCAAACACCGCCAAGCCAAGGACCAAAGATTTCGTCATGGCGGATTTGGTACAGGAGCTCTCGTACCTGGAGATTGAAGACGCGAGCTACGAGGTCGGGTCGATCAGCTGCGGTTTGTAGTGGTAGCAGCTCACGCTCAATCTCCCCCCACTTGGGGTTAGCGGTGAAGGTTATGAATAGTGACGGCTTGCCAAAGCGGCGCACAATCGGTATGCTGTCTTGGTACAGCTTCTGCATAAACCTGTCACCTCCCACATAACTGGACGGTAGAACCACCCTCCTTCCCACCTGCGCGAGATCAACATCCCCATCATCCAGAACATCGGCAAGACCATTGTAGAGATCTGCACGGAGTTCCTTCTGGTGGGAACGGAGCCAAGCAAGTTTGTTCTGATCGCACACAGCCCAAGCATCCACCACAAACTGCTGAAATAGCCTCTGCACCCGGAAGAGAGTGGTCGGCTCATCGAGTCTGGTATGCAACCTGTACCTGTAGAAAGCCCGCTGGTGGAGGCTCTTGTCCGGACGTTCACCCTCTCTATTATTGCGTGACCTTCCCCAATGCCATCCGGGTTCTCCGTATGGAAAGAGGAGAACGTAGTGGCGGGGACGGTAGGAGGGATGATTGGGGTTGATGAGTGACCATGAGTTGGGCCCATCTTCTCCATTCATACTCCTCGCCAGGACAATATCTCTGAAGCCCCCGCTTTCGTATTCCTCAGGCAGAATCATAGCGACTTCATCTGCTGTTGGTAGGTTCTCGCGTCTTGGATCGGCTCCTCTCTCCTCAACCAGACGAAGTTGAGAATTAAGGAGAATTCTGAAGTTGTCCTCCGAATGTGCAAGTGTTGCAAACAGCTCACTGGCCGTAAGGTAATATTGGATTAAGGGATTGGACTCCTGCAGCATCAAGGTCAAGGAATGGATGAGATCAGGGTTCAGTTCAGGTGCACGGCGTGATCTCAACTGCACCGCGAATGCAGGATCATAGAGGTACATCTGGGAGAAGTTGGCTTCCAGATCCCTACCAGGTACCAGCGGTGCCTGCCTATGATAAAGCGCCCCATGCACCTGAAAGAGTTGGAAGGTACCTCCAATCTCACCCGTTCGATTGTCGTGGTTGAACTTGATGCTGGTGAAGGCGAAGAGGGAATTCCATCTGCGTAGCTCCTCCCGGAATACCCTTGATTGAGTATCAACACCACTCATCAAGGCATTGAGGGGCTCAGGCAGTTGGCGCATCCTCTCTATCTGCACCTTGCCATGCTTGCAGCAGGACTCAAAGCTCACTTCTCTTGTTCGTGATTGGTTTTGAGTTAGCTCGGATTTCCAGTGCATTGCATGGCAGGCCGTACACCTTCGGTCCATCCGTCCCAGATCATGGACTGTCCATCGTGCCTGCTGGTCGATAAAGGCGAGAGGAGTTCGAAGCGGCAACCCCGCTGGTACCTGTCCTCGTCGTGGATGGCGTACCAGATCTCCCTCCTCCTGTACCATACCTCTCACCCCTCCCGCCTGTTCCTCTGGGCCTTCGAGAAACGGAACTCCCCGAGGTTCACCAGCTTGGACTGCCACTACTGCTTCTTCCCCCTCCTGTTCTGGTCCTTCTATAGTAGGAACTACCAGCTCTTCCACAGGAGGAACTGCCAGTACCAGCTCCCTAACCCTCCGTCCCGGTCCTTCTGAAACAGGAACTGCCGGACTCTCCCTTACAGGTACTGGCAGAATCCTATCCCTCCCTCCACCTCCCAGTCCTTCTGTAACAGGAACTACTGGGTTGAATGATGGAGGCCCCACAGTAGCAGCTCGTCCTCTTGCTTCTCTTGCAGCTCTCTATATTCCAGTCAACTATTAGTTTACCTATACTCCATTAAATCAAATCATACTTTCATGTTTGTAACTTACCAGACATATCCGACACGTATCGCGCAGCCCACCCCTCCAATCCCGATCAAACTCCTCTGCCCTCTTTCCCTGCTTGCACCGCCCACAGATCCTCCTCTCAGCTGTATTTCCTGTAGATCCTTATCCAATTAGATTATAGTCTTAATCGCATAATACAAACAAACATACCTGTCACCAGTAGTCTGCACTCCTGCTCATTCCTGGCAACTACCTCTGGATCAAGGGACAGCCGAGGGAGTATCTCCCCTTTCCCCAAATCAATCGTCTCCTTATTCTCATCGTGCCTTCCCTGTACTTCTACTAAGCCACCTGCTGGTACTATTCCCGCTCCTTCCTATACCATTCACCACTCCAGTCAGTATTCTGTGAGTGTTTTACTTCTCTACTGGTAGATCATGGGTAGTACTGACCCAGCAGTCATGGCAGGATAAGCTCCTTGTACCTGCTTCATTGAAAGGAAATTCATCCTCTCCTTTCTCCGACTGGCAGCTTATGCACCACCTTCTCTGCATGTCATTTCCTTCTTCTAGAGCCGTTAGTATATATCCCTTGTATATATGCTGAATAGATAGCACTTCACCTCTAGCCACCTGGAACAGAGCCTATGATAACAATCCTAGCTGTCAGTTTGTTGTTCTTGTATGTTGAAATTTAGTATAACCAAAAGGTTTAACCAACCAAACACCTCCTGCAGGCCGATCGTAGACGACCTCTCTCATTCCGGTCAAACTGGGAAACAGGCTTGTACACCTGACATTTGCTGCACTCGACACTCCCGGTCTGGTGGTATCCTGCATTCTCCTATCAGCTTTCTGCTCCTCGCAACTGTTGCTCTATTCATACCTTCAACTCCATCCTGTCTCCCTTGATTTTCCACCACCTGATTCGCGGTAATAACTTGGACCCCCTTTCCCCGACTCCTTCTCTGCCTCTCCTATCATCACCCAAATCAGATTAGCAACCATTAAAAAGATTGGGAAATGCTATAATGGGTTGAGTGGATGGGAATAAAACATACCAAACAGACCCGGCAGGACTTTCGCAACTGATTTTTTTGGTCTCGGTCATACTCCTCCATGGGTTTCTTGTGTCGGCAACGGACGCAGACTATCATAACTTGGAAATAGGTTGCGGAAAGAAAGGGAGTGTTTGCACTGGTAATTGTGTCTACCGAGACAGATTGGGGATGGAGGGAGAGAGTGTGAGGCTGTGGGTGGAGTAGCGGTTGTAGCAAACAGGAACGGAAAAAGATGGAAAAGTGATGATTGCTGTGAGAGGTAAGGAAAGACATCTGGTGTGCATGGGAGACCCACTGTGTGTATCGCAGCAAACCTATCTAGGGTCCAGACCTATCACATGAGGTATAGTATTACATGTGCCTGTGTCAGTGACCAGAACTACAGGTACCGTACGTACCATCACAGGTGGTGATCTGATCAGATAGTTTGTTTTGATTGTTTTTGATCAGATAGGATCGCACATGCCAAGACCCGCTGACAAACAACTGCGCAGTACATATTGGACTAGCTGCCCTCCTCAAGACCTTGAGGAGACGCATATTTTCGGAGTATCTCAATTATACTAATTCTTGAAGATAATAAATTCTAAATCAAATTTGCTACTGGATTAACAAGTTTATATAGTTGGGTATTAGGTTATTTATTCTATTGGTATTAAGTAGATTCCTTGTAGGGCTAACCATATTCATGGGTCTTATGAATTTTAACAGCTGCCGTCCATAAGACCTTGAGGATGTATCTCCGTAGCTTAGAACTAATAGGTAGGAATTTGATATACAAACAACTTAAAGAATAGTAATCCTGACTCTAATGATACTGACCCTGTAATTGAATACAAGTCTGGCTTAGTAGTCTCCTCAAGGTGGTAAGGGGATGTGGTCTACAGCATTAAAATATTGTAACCTTTTGCTATAAACAGAATTGAATATAATTTATTATAAAGATTGATCACTTGATTAACTTTAATTTCAAATTCTTTGTGGTATTAAGGTTACGTTACTGTGGAGGCAGGACTACCCTGCTCCTACTTACTCCCCAGCTAGTACCTTATTCTATAATCTTTATACATTTAAAAGCTGCCCTCGTTAAGACCTTGAGGAGAAACATATTTTAGTAGTATTTCAATTATACTAATACTTGAAAACTATAATAAAAATATTGAATTAGCTATTAAATTGATACTTTTAGTGAGTCTGTTATTAGGTTGTTTATTATATTAATATTGAGTAGCTTATATGGTAGGGCTTACCATATTCATAGATCTTAACAATTTTAATTGTTACTCTCCTCATAACCTTAACAACATTTACATTAAGGAGCAACTGATTTCAATTTTGTTTAAAAATTAATGAAGCAGATATCATTTATACCAAAGTATGTATTGTCTTATTCTTGTTGTGATTTAGTTGATGGTCCTATTACTATTACTATTAGGGTTATTAAAGGGTAGGGCTAACCTATCCTTACTAATATTCAGATTATCTCATTCTCATATCTTTATAATTTTCATTGCAGCCCTGCCCAGGATACTAAGGATTTTTCAAGTTAGTCAAATTAGTAAACTTGGATTCTGATTAGCAGCTCTTTTTAAGATTTCCCGGATATTTCTGTTAAAAGGCTATGCAGTTCAATTCCCTTCAAAACTCAAAGAAGCAAATATAATCTACTACTGAGTATAGTTGTTTTGTCCTAATTGTTATGAGGTTGTTGGTACTATTAGCATTATGTATATTAGAAGCTGGGGTCAACTTACTATTACTAACTT